CATAGCGAGCGCATTCTTCATTCGGTGCAAGGAAAAATTACACCTTCGAAAACAAAATGAGACCTCCATTTATGAAACTGTATCTACACTGCATAGCTCTAGAGTTTCCATAAAACTGATTTAATTGCAAAACTTTTTTTGCTAGTGAATTACGGTGCTTTAGAACATCTAAATATCAGGCTACGAAATATTAAATACAACATTTTACTTCACATTTGATCAAAATAGTTTCAAGAAAATTGCATAGTCGCGGGTTCCATGTTCCGCAAAGGTGGAAAAGAGGCGCATCAGTTATGCTCCGTAGACTTCCTTTCCTGGCTGATAAGGTCCAGTCAAAATGTACGATCATAGGAAAACAAAACCAGTTCAGGCTGTTTTTACTTGTCAATTCTTCGACAACTGCTCCGAATGATGCACCTGACTTGTTCATATTATTTTGTGCTTCCACTACCTGTTCCATCGTATTATTTTTTTTAGAAGTTACAAAAATAGTGCAAATTAGAATCCTTTTGACGTTATGACTAAACGCCTGGTTGTGCAGCATAAAGCTTCTTAGTGCACTACTAATACACCTAGTGCAAAACATTTTGCAATAATTTTCCCAGTGAAAAACAGAATGATAGGTGTGTAAATACTAAATTGTCAGCAGAACACAAGTCCGTAAAGAGTATAAATGTGCATACCAGTGGAAAACGCCATAAGGTCATTTCCAACCTAGTTATTATGGATTGGCTGTAGTACTTGTGCATACTATCTTTTGCTACTAGAGCTATGCCATCTAAGATGAACTTAACTAACATAATATCTGATTGTAATACTCCTGCAACTTAAATTAGAAGCAGAACGCCTTATATTGTTTACCCAGCGACGATATTACTTTTTTCTATGAAGTTTTATTCACTAAAAGAAAATGTGTACGTATAAAAAGGGAAATTAGTTCGCTCCATTACGAAATTGGATTTGAAGCGGACAACAACGGTTATTCTGCAAAATTAATTTAATCTTTATAATTGCAAACCTCCATTTCGCTTGAGGATGATATTGTATTCTTGCTATTTTTTTGCCAGCCAAGTTTTATAAGTTTTCATGTATCCCGTTTTATTCGCTCTATACAAATAAATAATACGAGTATGTTCATCTCCATATTTGCGAGTACAATCAGCAATTAATAAAGCTATAGATGTTCATCAAACTACTGATGTTTCGGCTACACCGGCAGTTTTTTTGATAATACAAAGTCAGGACAGGTGAAATTTCATTCATGATTTACAAAAAGCTGGACATTTTAGAAACTTCATTTTATGCTGATTACGCGCTCGGGTGCAGTGAATAGTATTTGACTGATAACAAAAGACCTTTCGAAATATTCCCTTCCTCCCTTCTCAAAAATGAACTATCATTACTGTGACTCTGTACACACCATTTGGTATAATGGGTATACCTTCTAACGAAGATCGTATTAGAGTCGCAATTGGCGGTTTCATCTCTTCATCCCACAATGTCAATGTGTTACCTAAGGATCGGTTTTTGGCTAAAATACTGTTTCGGTTACATATTAACCTAACCTAACCTATATCTATCTATACTGATAACAATTATCACAATAGCGAGGGGCTTGGGATATTACTGTCTAGTGACGCAATAGTTTGGTGCAATTTAATGTATTTAAAATGCAAACTGTATCTTAACTTATAAGAGTGGTACCGAAGCAGACATCCAGTTTTGATGAATGGCCGATCCCTGCCGGGACGCTATGCTTTTCGGCTTGTCGCAGTTTAGATCACTGAGGATATGGTTTAGGACAGCATTAGCAACACGTGCTGGATAAAGCTGGCATATTTGTTTCGAACAAGGGAGTACTTTTACTTCATCACCTTATACAAAGTCCACTCAAGTTGGTCCCGTCCAAAGAAGGTTTAGTGTTAGACGCAACATCTTTAATACTATTACACAGATTTTATTAAAAGAACCATCCTGCAAATTCATTGGTCCTTCCTGATATTTGCGTCGTGTCTTTTGTTTTAATACCTCCTTTTTATTCAGTCGTCAAAATCGGAACACCAAATCGTTCAAAAAAGCTGTACATCTTGCTTTCCCAACTCGAGCTTCAACAGCATTTTGTCCAGTGCACTTCATTCAAATTAGTGAATAAGGAAAGTGCGAGTTAAATAAGTTCAAAAGTACGGGTTTTTCAGTGTCCTGATGTAACATTATCTGCTGTGTTTGAATGTGTTCTGGTTTCACTGAGACTGCCTATTTCTTTTTGTACAACTTTTGTTGTTTGTGTTTTGATATATTAGTTTCTTATGCAGGTTATAGAAATAATACATATTTGTCATTCAATAACTCATCAAACCTGCTTACACAACTTTGGGCGATATTGTAATCATTTAAAAAATGGAGATTACACCATACAGATCTCTCACATAGGTATGTTTAAAAAAATCGTTAATTTTGGAGCAAACTACAAGTATTCTGTATATTATTTGCGAGAAGATAGTAACAGTGGTTGTGTGTTGTGATATCTGCTTTTCGTTTTATAATAATATACGTGTATAAATAACTTTAATCATATTTATAATTTTTAACTTGGTGACAAAAGAATGCATTGCGTGGCTGAAACAGTACATTTTCCAAGAATCGGTGTACAATGGTAGTTGTTTCTTCATCAAAATGACGTCATAAATGCTGTTGCCACTACATTCTCTTATTCACCATCATTTGATTGTTCGCATGTTCTCACAATCAATGCAGTATATGTTGTTTGCGAAAGAATCTATCGAAAAATGAACGATATCTTTAAATGTAATGAGATTTGTTCCCTCACATCTCTTTTGAAATAAAAATGTCCATGCTAAGCACTAGTTTTGTGCATATAGTTTCACTGTTTTAAGTGTTTTTATAATGGCTACCTTCCGAAGTTGTATAAAGGAGTATAATAAGTTAGTAATTGATAAATCCAAAATAACCAGCACATTACTCTTATTCCACAAATAAAAATATGTTATGTAAGTTTAATCTGTACTTCCCACGCTATGCTGTCTTCATTTCGTAAAGGATTAAGTTCGACATAAGTTAGATGTTCGAACGATCGTCGAACATCAAAAATCGAAGTCACCTTGAGAATTTCTCGTCAGATCACCATGTGATTCCTGACGTGCAATTCGGCTTTCGGTCTGAGCATAGTATGGAGCTACAGTCTGGTGGAGCATGTAACCAGGGGGTTCACCCTGAACAAAAGTAATGGTATCTTGCTTTCAGATGTATCAAAGGCATTTGAAAAGGTGTGGCACATGGGCCTCTTGTATAAGCTCATCCAAAAGGGTTTTCCATTTTGGCTACTAAAACTGTTGAAATCTTTACTAGAAGGAAGGAAGTTTCGGATCAAAATTAACAATGTGTTGTCAACAACAAGAGCCGGTGTTCCTCAGGGATCGGTCTTAGGACCAATCCTTTATTCACTTTATATACATAACGTCCCTTGCCCCAGCAACTGTGAAGTCTATCTCTATGCTGAGGACACTGCATTGCTAGCCCAGTCTTGTTCTGGTAACCTGGTTCACGACAGGCTGCAGAGTGCGGTGGAGGAAGTATTGGAGTGCGCGGATCGGTGGTTGATCAAAATTAATACTTCGAAAACGCAGGCAATCTATTGTACTAAAAAACGTCGCGGTGCCCCCTCAGAGATATCAGTGAATGGAACTCTTATAACATGGGAGCAATCTGTCAGGTATCTTGGAGTCATCATTGACAAGTGGTTGACCTGGCAGAAACATACTGATATTTTTAAACCAAAATTCCAAATTACCTTTCGGCAGCTTTATCCTTTGTTGTGCAAAAATTCAAGATTAAGTTTGATCAACAAGATTCGGTTGTATAAAATGGTCATAAGACCCGCAATCACCTACGCATGCGCGGCTTGGTGTTTTCTTGCCAAGATGCACATGCAGAGTCTGCAAGTCCTTCAAAACAGAACCCTATTCACAATTACTAACGCCTCTTGGTACGTGTCAAATGAGACTATTCACAGAGATCTTGATAGCCCATATCTAAGGAATTACGTAAAACAACAGGCGCAGCGGCGTTATAATCAAGCGGATAGCACAGCAACACTCTGTTGCGTGATTCAGTAGACTACACAGTCGAGCAAGTTCGCAAACATTCCAGGCCGCGCTTCGCACTGTGATCAAAATTAAATTGTAAATTTAGACCAGCCAGAATTATTTCAGTATACAAAACCGGTCAAAATTATTTTTTGGAATTACAAAATAATTCCAGTAGTCAAAGCAATACTGCTTAAGCTATTTCAAATGATTTACTTCTTTTCTTTGCTCTATTTATTCCTTCCTTTCTTTCCTTCTTTCCCTTTTCCCCTCAAACATGTTTGGTATCTGGGTAGCCAGACCTGACATACTAACAGACCGACGAGACTTTTAACTAAGAGCAAAGGTCCACCGGACCGCTCTGATGAATAATGACAAATAGTATTCAAAAATCGAAGTTTAAGCGATTTTAGTTTTTTTGCTTTTGGCCTTTTTCTATACGCTTTTGCGTCCTTGGCATATTAGTGACATTGTGTAGAAATTTCATCGAAATCCGCACGGGTATTACGTATCTTGAAAAGTGACATTATGTCTATTTTCTTTGACATTATATTGGTTTTGTGATATTATGTAGGGTTTTCTACAAGATGTTAACTTAACACTAGCTGATGGAGACGTTGTGAACAGCTAATAGATATTATACCTCATTGGCAGCATATCCAGTTATAATTTTCACACAGCAAATATCCCTGAGCAGACAAATATACACAATCATCCAGATGCAATATTGCTATTCAAACAACTGTCTTCTCAGAGATAAAAACTACAGACTACTCGGCTTCACAAGACAAGACAAGACGTATGCAACTAACAATACGTGTAGTTGAGTTATTCCTCCATGAATGGACGCTCACAACGATCCTAGTGAAGAAACGTGGAATGACTGCACCCTAAAAACTACCTAGTCTGCAAGATGACATTTAATAGGTTGTTTTGACGTTTTATAGGTTCTTTACATATTACCCGTATCGAGCGGTACTTCTCAAGTTATAACTGCTTATAAGATTCGCGGACAGACCGAGAGGCTGACAGACAGATCGACCGAAATGAATGACATGGTTTTTCGTGATATACATGTCATAACATCCAAAAAAACATATCTCATTTTTCAAAATTTTCGCGAATACAATACTTCGCCGCCAGTAAGCGTGGGAAGTAAAAACAATATGCAACCCCACTGAACCAGGACCATATTGGAATCAGGTAATTGTGCCAAATCAGGGTTTTGAAGAAACGATATTGTTGAACTTACTCAACTCACGGTGACATTCTTTATAGTATAATTTTTGTGAGCTAAAGCATGCTTGAGAGGCCTAAATTTCCTCCAAAGATTTTTTTCTGTGTTCTGATCCTGACAACCTGTCCTAGTAAGATCTTTTGTTATGTGAATAACCCATTATTTTTAATCTACCCAATGAATTCCTTTTAAGCGTACACTTTCAGGTATTATTAATTTTTTATGTTTATTGAATTCTGCCAGAATTTGTTACCAACCTAGTCACTCTGCAGGGTGAGATTTTCTTAAAATCGGCATACATACTAAAACCAAAACTAAAATTGCCTCCCACTATGGCGGGTAGCGTAGTTATGACTTATTTCGCGTGTTTTCATAAAATAATGTGATTTTGTTTGTTTCCAGGTGGAGGGCAAATTGCTAAGGCGTGTTAGCCCGCGGTGAACCGTGGAGTCTGCGGCTGCGCTCGGCGCGACGAAGAGAGGTCGGCCCCAGCAGGAGGCGGTGGACGTGCTGGGCGTGTCCGCTGCTGCGAAGTCGCCGGCCGGCTCTGCAGCCGCACCGTTTCTCGCCGCCCCTGCACCAGGTAGGTACTAAAACGGTCTTCTACACGTCCTTCTACCCTCTTCTACATTCTTGTTAGTAACATATTCTGGATTAAAGAAGCGGTACGCTATCCGGTGGCCATTAAAGAAACTAGTTTTTTGTATATTAATACGCCATTGTGCAATGTATTTACATGCAAATTTTCACTAAATGCTTCGTTGAGATTTGGAAGTTTTTTCTTTAAATCAGACTGCAGTAGGTCACAATCATGACCTCGAATCATTACTGTTGTGTTCCACAATGCCAAAAAAGTTGCTGAAAAGGAATTAAGTTTTCCCCAATTTCCTCCAGAGAAAGGTTAAAAAGTTTATTTTGAAACTGAAAAAAGAAAAGTGTGGGTTTTGAAACTTCGAATTTGAAAGCCAGTTACAGCATTTATGAAGGTATGTTCTCGACATTTTCAAAAGGAAGATTATATTAATAAAGGTAGGTTATCAATGTTTATTAGGTACTGGATACGGCTTATATTCATATACTACTTATTTTACATTATAATAGTTGTCTACAGCCTACAGTAATTTATGTTTTCTTCCATGGGAAATGGAATGAAAAAACAGCTGTTAAATCAATATTTTGAAATAGGATATGTAGATAAAGGAAACTGGAAACTGAAGCATTCCAAGCAGGCCCATGTGAGGTTCAGTTGAATAAAGTATTGGTATTCTGAGGAGGAAATTCAAACTGTTTAAAGTTTAATGCAGTTATTTAACCTAGGTCAAGACATAAGTGAAAGAGGAATTGATGGTGTTCGTCAAAATAAGTAGCTTCCAGTTCGTGGGTCTGAAGTTCAAGTTAACACTGACAAAATATCAACACTATTAACGATAGAAAGTGCTTCAAGAAGTGTCACAGAAATAAACAATTTTGAAATCTCTGAATGCATAATGGCAAAAGTGGAAAAATTCCTCCAGGATATAAGATCTCATAGACTTGGCAAGCGCTAAAGAATACTTAGAATTACAAAACTAAAATTAGATCTCAGTTTTGTACCACCTTAGGTGTGTTATTCAATATTACCAGACAGTTATGTAAAATATTTATTGATATTCTTTTTGATTTGAGTAAAATTTTATAACCTTGAATCTGCTTTCCTCCTGCTGAAGAAATATCTAAGAACGTACCTAAATGTTTCAGATATTTTCAAAATTGTCGGATTGTTTTCGATTGTACAGAAATAAATATCCAAAAATCAAGCATTAAGTTGTACTCTCAGTATAAAAAAATACTACAGATAAGTTCATGGGTGGTGTTGCTCCTGCTGGTTTGATTACTTTTGTGGGTAATGCTTACCTATGTGGTCGTCAATCTGACACATGCTTTTTGAGAAAATAAATCTTATCGACGTTATTACTCAATCGGGATGACATTATGGTGGATAAAGGGTTTACTATTGATGATATTTGTGCTGAACATAACAGAGTGTGCCTTTGTATTCCCCATATATATGCAATACTATATATTCTACTAAAGTCAGAGTCATTTGAGCCATTTTCCACCTAAAAATCATTTAAAATTGCACAAGACTAAACTATGTGTAAGAAAAACAAATATTTTACAAAGTTTGAATCTAATACAAGTTGTTCATCAAGACGAAATCAAAGTCAGCACAGTAAACAAAATCAATAACATTCCACAATTAAAAGCACATAGAACCGGTAGAATTTAGCAGAAATCACTTCCAAACACCTTTTTCAAAGCGAAGGTAAAAATTAATATTAATGTGTCAATGTACAAGAAACTAGTTTGGATGTTCGCCGCGGAGGCGCTGCGATCTTAGTTTGAAATCCCAAAAGGGCGCGTTCCTTAATGACATGCACTGTTAGTATCTGAAACCTCAAATAATTTTATGGAGAAAAGTAAAAAAAAATCCTTCAATTTCAAACTATATGGGACTCATTTAGCCACCAAGCAAGGTGTATAAATAATTTAAGTCGTACAAGCATGTATTTTATGGCATATACTTGTATAATGGATATCTATACTTATATAATGGATATATATACTTATACAATGGAATTATTATCAGGGTAGTCTTTTGGTTATGATTACTTCGAATGAAATAGGATTTAAAGGGTTAAGTGTAAGAACAGATGTGCATCACTTTACTGATGTCTACCACCCTTTTTTGAGTGTTAGTGATGTTGAATAGACCTAAAGTAGCTCGTTGTCGTACGCTACCCGGTAATAGGTACTGAGGTATTCCTTAACGCGTGTACATTCACTTGACTGGGACTAAACACCCTTGTTTTAAATTGTAGGTATTCATTTCTTCTGATTATCATTATTATTGTAATCGTTAATATTGTTATATATTACCACATTTAGTCTGATTAGAGTTTAAAATATAGCAGTATAAAATAATTTATTTAACGTCTAGCAAAGCTGTATGATAGAGGCACATCTCTCACTTACCATCCATTTTCAAATATTCTAAGACAGCAAGTACTTTCAAACCATTAAAATAGTAAATAATAAATAAATACAATTAATAACAATAATTTCAGTCATCAAATCGAATATGTACTCATGCTAAACAATAGTAATAATTAGTAATACTCAAAAATTGATAAAGGGTCCAATGGCAGTGGCAATTATGTGCCCAACAAGCCAAGGATTCTCCACATGAATACACACCTCAATTATTTACCCAAGTATTTTTGGAAGAAAGGTTACTTCTCCTTATAGAAATGCGGTTAGTGGTGAACAAAAGTTTATTGCGCCATCAATGGTGTCTCTTGTGATATTTTTACAAGAAACATCCTTCCCATTACAGGTGCTGCCCCCGTGCACCAGGCACCGCCCACGCACGCCGCCTCCACAGCACCCTTGAAGAAGGCGCGTTTGGACGCCGCGATCGCTATGGAAGCACCTCCGCTGGGCGTCGCGCTCAGCCAGAGCATGGACAGCGTCAACACTAATAACGGAGAGGAAGAGGTCAGTATCAGTCTTAGTCATGATCAAATATGCTAAGTGACATATAAATCCGAACACCCAGTTTAAATGGTTTTATTTTAATAAAATTTTGTATAAGTATTTAATGAAGCATAATAAGTAAATGATAAAAATTTCAAAATGATTGCACTGCTTTAAAGCCCTTTGACCTTTAATAATGTGTGGATGCACCCTGATGTGCTACGCATTCTCCAACGCGCCTAGGCATGCTTCTGATCAGGTGGTCAATGTCCTCCTGTGGTATCTTATTCCAGGCAACCACCAACTCCTCTCGAAGTGCTTCCAGAGCCTGAGGAGGACGTTGCAAATTGAGCAATCTCCTACCCATCATATCCCACACGTGCTCAATTGGGGATAAGTCGGGAGATCTTGGTGGCCATGGTAACAATGTGACATCATTATGTTGAAAGAAGTCTATTGTGACTCTTGCAACATGTGGTCGGGCATTATCTTGTTGGAAAGTTGGATCTGCCAGGGTGTCAAGATAGGGTAAAATATGGGGTTCTAGAACTTCGTGGATATAACGCTGCGCGTTCATGTTACCTTTGATGAAGATTAAAGGTGACCTGGAACCATAAGCTATAGCACCCCAAACCATAACTTCAACAGTGTGATGAACATGTCTTTCAACAAAAAACTGTGGATTTCTCCTTTCACCACGTCGCTTTCTAACCCTGGCACGACCATCGTGCATGCCTAAACAAAATCGAGACTCGTCACTAAAGACAATACTGTTCCATTCCTGATCCCAAAGTGACCGTTGTCTGCACCACTCAAGGCGATTACGTCGGTGTTCTCGAGTTAAAGGGAGGACCCAGTGTGGCCGGTATGAAAACAAGCCAAAACTTCTCATTCGTCGGTAAACACTTCGCATGCCAATAGGTCTTCCGTGTTCTGCAAACCATTCATTTGCAATGGACCTGGTAGTGGAGAAACGGTTCCTTAAGGCCAATAATCTTAGGCGGCGATCTTCACGGTCTGTTGTTCTACGGAGGCGTCCAGTGCCCCTTGCTCTTTGCGTACGGCCTTCTCGAAGCCATGCCTGACAACACCTAACCACAGTGTCTACACTTCTTTGCACTCTAACTGTAATTGCCCGAAAAGAAAGTCCAGCTTCCCGAAGTCCCACTATACGGCCCCTATCAAACTCACTAAGTTGACGAAATCGTACAGGTCTCCGTACTCTAGGCATCGTAACCGATCGTAAAGGATGTCAAGAACCAAAATCCGCCAACGTTGATTCTTTACTGCGGCTGAAATATTCATTTTTAGAGCGTTAGTGAATTAAAAAAAAGCAGTATAAAAACCGGAATGTCCAACTGATAAGGCTGAAAATTTTTTCACTTGTTATTTACAGTAAGATAAATACATTCACCAACTTTTATTAAAATAGAACCATTTAAACTGGGTGTTCGGATTTATATGTCACTTAGTATAGATTTAAACCCACTTCCATCATTTTTTGCAATTGACGCATGTGGTGTATTAAAATAAAAAAAATTGTTTGGCCATTAATTCAGATATCTTACAAAATATTTACAATCGCTAGGAAGTTCCGATCAATTTCATCATTAATACCGATATTTGAGGCGCTACTAGTAAATTCATATCTTTTGTGGTTATCTTCCAAGATACCTAAATCTTTTGCAGGTACTATAAAAAACACGAAATATAAAAATTAACAATCAACTTGAGAATTTTCAACTTAAAATCAATCATATCGTCTCCGCACGTACAGGCGTAAATGATAAATAATCTAAAATCGAGTTACGCCGTAATTTCACATATTTTTTTGTAGTCTCTCATTTCACGAAATGACGTAACTGTATAACAGTTCGCTGTTAAGGAATAAAATTTTCAGAAAATTGCGTAAGTTATAAAATTCCGAAAACAATTTTCACGGACCGGCTTAAATAGATGTACGCCTCTGCGTTAAAATTGGTTCATTTTAGTCTAACAAAAAAAAAACAGCAACAAACAGACTAAAAAATCAGTATGTCATTTTCAATCTCATTTATTGCTGATTTTCGTTTTCTAGCTCTCCTGTAAAATTTGTAAAATGTTAGTTACGCCGGTACGTGCGGAGACCGACGATATATTTTACAAACTTGTCCTCAAAGAGTAAAATCTGCAAATTCAGCAATACATAAGGTCCTGAATAGTGAAAAATAGTTTTGGACCATGAAGTCCATATTTCCCATCAATTCTAAAAGTAAAATTTCTTCTCAAACCATAACGGTTTAGTCGCTATGCTCCATATATGCATCCTGTACATAGATTATTAGATTCTAGTTCAACTTCTACGTATAGAACTGATGTATTTCTGTGAATCGTAATGAAAGTATATCTAGGTACTAGATATATTGATATACAATTTTTTGGGAAAGAAAAATACTCGATAAAACTGTCACCTTCTAAGATAAATTAACTAGCGCGTATTGTACATCTGCTCGCTGTGTTATTTAAATCCCTACATTGCTGAAACATACAGTCAAATACCGTGTCGACATTCTTGAACATTTGTTATCACGTCTCATGCTTAGATTGGCATGTCACTTTAGTTGCAATAAAAATAGAAAAAAACGGCCTCAAGCAGGTTGACTCTGTACTTTTCACGCAAGGCTATCAACAGTTCACAAAGAATTTAGTTCGGCACACGTTATCTAGGAGCATAAATAACGTAAAATTCAAAGGAACAGGCTCACATAATTAGTACGTTGTGTCTCCACCCGCTTGACAACGTTGCGAACTAGAAATTCCTCCCCTGTCCTACCGACAGTACCGACCATCTGGAGACGTTGTCATGAACGTCCGCAGGGTGGTGGCGACCGTCTCCAGCTCCGCCGCCACTGGACTGATTCTCAAAAACTATAAACATTTTTCGTCCTTAGTCTGTATTAGTAAACTTGTGTCCAAGTGGTACTTTCCAAGACATAGACAGACCAAACACTAGCAGACAGACAGACAGACCGAAGCAAGTGACATGGTTTTTCGTCATGTTCATGTTACATATCTCATTCTCGATGTTTTTTGCGATTACGATACTTCCTCGCCAGTGGCGTGGGTAGAAAAAGTCCAACATTTTTTAAATCTCCCGGCCATTCTCAACATATACTGATGCTCGTCGCATCCTTTTACTCGGTCCGTTTAATAAAAACTACTGTTCAACGATTTTCTGTAAAGCATCTGGATAATTATGAGATTCGCTGTTAAATATACCACCAATTTCATAGCCCATACATTCCGGTAACTCATTAATTCCGCTTTGTGAGATTGTTCTACACAGTTGCATCAACAGTGAATACCCTTTTCACAGCTATGCAATAAAACGTCAATTACACGTAGTTGGAATCCCTGGCAAAGCCTGCCTGCCTCAGTTCAGTCCGAAAGAGGACTTCCATTGAAGGAGGTCACACATTATGTTGTGTTGGCCTGCTTTGTGCCTTTGCCTTGCTGCAGTGCGCCTTGTTTAAATACAAATTGCTCCTATAGACGTACCGAATGTATCTTGCAATCGAATTTCTAAATAGTCTGGATCCACTTTCCTTCAACCGTATCAGTAAGAGAGGTAACACTGCTTAACAGGCAATCTGGTGCCAGTGGTCAGGGGTACATAGGTTTCTTAGTGGGCCTTCCTGTGTTCCATTTGCGCTATTTTCTGAGACCGTTTTCGAAAAAATCAAGATGGCTTCATCTGTATATCTATATCCTATATAATGTCAAAAAACCGACAAAATGCCAACTTACGGACTAGATAGCTCCTAGTGTACAAATAGTTCATTCCGCGCTTGCTCTCTGTGAGCGCTGTGAGCGACACCCATAGCGTCACTTATGGAGGAATGACTCAATCACATGCTTAACGACCTTGCTGCAGGTCAGTTCGCCAGCATGCTTTGTTCGTTGCAGAATGCTGAGAGTCTGTAGAGTATCTCTGAGAAGTTGTGACAAAAAGAAAATTGGTTGAGTAGCATACATCTATTAGCTCTGCCAGGTGGATTATTTATTTATTGTCCTTTCTGAAAAGAGGTTGTGTTCGATGATATATCTAAGGTTTTATTTTTAAAAATAAATATTTTCATTTACCTTCAAGGCCAGATCACAGAAAAACTAGGAAGAACGCATCACACAAGACATTTTTGCAGTTTCTTACATCTAGGCGCCGATTTGTATTTTCTATACTTAATTAACATCGCAAAATAAACTTCTATAAAATTTAAATGATTGAAACTATATAATAATATAAAATGTAATAACCTTCTCACGTTTCATAAATATTCTGTCTGTGGCCTATTTTACTCTCATCTGTTAGTTGTAATATACTTCACCAACCAGAAACTTCATTTTTGTATCTCTCTCTTTTTTAAATTCAGCTGATTTGCATATGTAATTTTCAGCATGAATAAAAAAAAGTGGATGAACAACTAATTTCTAGTTTTGCATAAAAGATTGTGCATTTGAGACAAGGACAAAGGCAGTTTGTTATCATGAACAGATTATTAGCACAGAAATCCTCACTAAGCACCTGTGTACTGTCGTTTCGCCCGTTTCCTTCCAGTTATAGTGAACAACCTACAGCTTAGTCCTCCAATAATGTCATCTCTGAAGCAGATGGTAGCTCAGGTTCCAATCTGAAAAATAACGGAGGAGATGCGGCTTTTGTCCGCAGCAGTCTTTCCTGCTACAGAGATGTTTCTTTGGAATCAAACCGAAAGGAGATTGTGAGGGTTCGTCTCAACTCCAAAACATCACCCAAATTTATTTGCTGCCTTTATCGCTCTTCCTCGGACCATAACTGGGACGACCTACTGGAATACCTCGCCATCAAGATCGACTTGAACATCAATCACCCCGCTTCAGAGGTAGTTATTCTCGGTGATTTCAATGCCCATAATGAGCTATGGTGGGACTCAAACAAGACCGATGCACCAGTTCGTGCAGTGGAAGCGTTCGCTCTTACTCAAGGGCTGACCCAGCTGGTGACGAG